TGTGTATTTTTTTAATTAATCCTGAAAAATATTAAGAAGAATAATTTATATTTAAATGATTATCATTTTTTAATGCTTATGTCAGGATTAGGTTGAAAAAAAAAAAAAAAAAACAATCAAGGAAAGAAAGCAGTTTAAAATTAGATAGAAATCAAATGGGAATTCCGTTCCAATCCTTTCTCGACCTTGCGACTGAAAATTCTTTAGTGGTTACGTCGTGAAAGTTTATGTATATAAATCTCAAAGATATTAACAATAAATAATAATCATCGAGGCCTGTCATCTGGAAACTATCATTACTTAGCATACGCTTACCGGTTGTATTTGTAATTGCGTTAATTTTATGATCATCAATATAAGTGCTTATACTTATGATTTGATAATTTATTTTTTACAACCAACCAATAGAGCAGGGTAGAAGAATTTGATGACTCATTAACTGGATATCGATATCGATCTGGTGTAGTTTGTTTAGTTATAAACAGTAAACACTGCGTATATAATTAGTAGTAGTTGGATTGGATAATGAGGCCAGTGTTTATTCTCACGGAAATATCCTGTCCTATAAAAGTACAATAAAAGTATGAGTAAAGAGGAAAATTTATTTGGTAATAGTTGATACAATGATTTTTTTTTTTATCGCACATCGCACTTAGTTATATGGCATTGATAACGTTTTATAATCAGTAAAATTTATTTTTATCAGGTGAAATAATTTTATCTGTGTATCTGAATCAGTTACGAAACTGAGAGGAAATACGTCAATGAATTATCGAGAAATAAAATTTATGGAACAATAAATTAGTAAGAAATAAATAAATAAAAAATAAACTATACCCGGAAAAGATCCTTTGGATAAAGTTAAATTTAAATATGGAGGTGTCATACCCGCTTGAGTTCAGCTCTGAAGTGGTCTCCATTCACGTCTTTCAGTCCTTGGAGTCCGCGGTACGTGCTATTGGTTCAACTTCAGGTCCAGTTCGATGACCCTTTAAACAAACTGCTGTTTGTACTGTAACTTGTTTTTCCTCCTTTTCAGACGCGATTAATCAACCGCCGAAAAGTACACTGCAATTATTATTAATATTATTATTATTATATATAAAACATATTTAACACTAAATTTTTAATGACTAATCACGATTAAAAGTTTACTGAAACGAATCAGAAAATCTGCCAGCGTGAATTATTGATAAATTTAGTAATTCCGAAGATATATAAGTTTGACCGAGTCAAGGACACTTGACTTTTGTTTTATACTTGATTTCTTTTGTTGAAAAATAAAGAAATTATATTATACTGTCATTGTTAATAATTGATGATTAATGTAACAAAAAAAAAAAAAAAAAAAAAAAAAAAAAAAAAAAACCATATGATTGATTCATCATGATTAATAAAATATTGCAATGATGATTCATTTTGTTGTTTTGTAAGAAAAAAAAATCATTCTGTGACTCATATTTAAGTATTCTTTTATATAATATTAATATTTATCAGTTTGATTTGGTTGATAGTAAAAAAAAAAAATAAATAAGTAATACTAAAAAATTTTGATTTTATTTTTTTCACTACTTGACATTTATCTAAAATATTTACTAAATACTTGAAAAATTTATAAAAGCATCTAATAAGTCTTTCATATTACTGAAGCTTATTTAAATTTATTATAAAATAAATTTTTTAATAATTAAATTAAAACAAAAAAAATATTTTTTAAAAATTGCATTTACAGTTTTTTTACAAATGAAATTTATTTTTTTGTAATAATTTTTTCAATAAAAAAAAATTTTTTTAATTTTTAGATGTCGGCTAACTTAATTTTCATATTATATTCATATGTATAGTAAAAAAAAAACCCGGATGTAACTAGGATTTAGGGCCTTACACTCAAGTAGGAATAAATTAGCCAATGAAATGGGTTTCTACATTTTCCACTGGAAATTTTCTCGCTCCCTAAGCTCCCTACCAAGAAAAGTACATTTTGGCACTGCACTGTTCTATTCTAACGGCCATTTTAGCAACTCACGTTTTTGATCAACGAGTGGAATAAATTAAATGTAAATCACTTGTTAAAATACAATAAAATAAAATAAATATGGGCTTGACAAAAACAAGAGATGTTAATACTCGCATATGTTCTGAAGAGTGGGTGATTACAAACATAAGTTCGTATTTATTCAGCAACAATCAAAGGAACTCCAGTGAATATTTTATTTTGTCATCTGGGTCTATGATTGAAGACAAGTGGTGCTTAAAACTGGAATTTGATAATGAAGATTCTTGGATTACTGTCGAGTGTCAATCTGGATTTGAAGATGGAAGTGTCAGGGCTACGCACAGTGTTTACATGATATGTGATACCAATAAGAGGCTGGATTTCATGGGACGAACTAGTGGCGAGTATGACAAAGAGTCTTGTGATTCTGTGATGTATTTTTTAAGTGAAAAGACTTTCAAAGAGATTTTAGAAAAAAATCAGATTGTGAGAGACACCCTGGTGCTGTGTGTCGAGCTTCAGGTTTATTTTGACAACGATCCATTTCCAGCTGATTACCCAATCGAGTTGGATCAAGACGAAGTGCCCAGTTATTACCAGAAGTTGTATTTTAATCGGGGTAAAAACAGTGACGTGTTGATAGTGGTCCAGAAAATGGGGTACCCGGTTCATAGCTACATTTTGAAGAATCGCTGTCCAGAATTGTTTGCTAAAATTCGTGAGCAACCGAATGGAAAAAAAAGTGTTGCAGCTGTTACTGACATAAGTCACGAAGAGATTAGAAAAATTTTACAATTCATTTACCTGGGTGAGATTGTTGACTTTGAGGATTCCGCTATGGGGTTGCTGGAAATTGCCAGTAGGTTCAAGCTCGAAATCTTGAAGCGAATGTGCGAAAAGTCACTCAGCGAGAATTACTTGACGTTGGAAAATTCTGATGATTTGATGAAATTTGCAGAGCGGTGTGATGCCAAAGATTTAATTACATATATACATTTATTCAAAATAGCAAACAATGTACTTGAATAAGATGTTACTTATAATATATTTTTGTACTTAAACTAAATAAAGTATTTTTATGTTAATTTATTTGTTATATTCTTCTCCTTAGATTCATCGAAATTTAGCCTGTCGTTGAAAGAAACACATGGGTGTTTGTATACAATAGTTTTCAAGTAAACTGACAAGTAGAAAATTGTATAATATGGTCATTATTCTTGGGGGAAAACTTTTACATGAAATATTTATGAAGATAAATTTAAAGTTGACAAATTCAAAAAACTCCCCGTTGGTGGTCTTTTTGAATAAAATGTAATAATATACTTATTGAGCATTCTTTTAGAAAACAAATTCAAACTTTTTAGTTTTATTCATTGTTGACTTTTGAATCTAGCGACACGCGGGAAGAATATAAAATGGTAGGTTAACCATATCAAGGTTACTAGTAGTTTTATCCAACAGGTGGCGCTACCTGTTTATTAAAGCGCTCATTTAAATAAAATTAATATAACACGTGAAAAAATTAATTTGTTATAAAAATAAATAAAGTAATAAATATTTATAATAATAAGTTTTATGTATTGAATATATTTATTTTTCTTTATTGTTTCATGTTTTTTTTTTGGATTCTAAGATTTATAATCAGTTCACAGCCTGTTTTAAATGTCGAGAAACACGTAGTTTAAGTATGCTCATATTTAAAACACACTGTGTTACACTCATGTGCTTAAATCTAATTTACATACAGTATTTTGTCATTTATTTAATTATTAAATTATTTTAGCAAGTAAAACTAAAAATACGTAAACATATTGATTAATTAACAATGGATAATTGTACAAAGAGTTATCACAAACGTGATACTGTTGATCTGTTTAATTATTTATTGTAATCTATTATAAAACTCTGATTTATACAGTTTGCAAATCGCGTCACACATTCTTAACTCTCTTGTCTTAAAAAACAATTAATTACCTTTTACTTAAAAAACATGAATAAAATAAAAATACAGTTTTTTAGTTCACTAAATTATTTTTTATATCTATAGTATCAAATGCGAGAAAAAAAAATAATCATAATATTAAATTGCATATTTACAAATCTTAATCATATCCTTAAAATCAATCATTTATTTGTAAATATGTCGAAGTTTTTTTTTTTTTTTTTTTTCATCATTGTTATGAAAAATATAATAAATTGTAATTGTAAATAAATAATTTAAAAGAAAAAAATAAAAATGGATTTTTTAGGTACTTAATTTTATTTTTTAACTTTAGTTTTAATAAGAGTATGTTAAGAAGGCAAAGTAGATATGATTATATAAGTTATATTATCCATCTGTGTAAAATTTTATTTCGCTCTTTCCATAGAAAACACACTCCTATTTAAATTTAAATTATTTAATTTACATCTATTGTTTTTAAATATATATCTTTCAGTCTATCTACAACACCGCGTGATCAAGGTCTTATACGGAAAAAAAAAAAAAAAAAAAAAAAAAAAAAAAAAAAAAAAAAAAA